TCTCAGTCAAAACAGCTTATCAGTTTATTAAGCACGGTCCTGAATTGAACTACTGTTCCACTTGGAAGAGGATGTGGAAATGTCCGGTTCCAGAGAAATTAAAATTCTTCCTCTGGCAGGCTATCCATGATAGACTCCCTACGAACTACCTGAGAGCTCAAAGGAAACTCACTTCTGATAGTTCTTGTCCCTATATGTGTGATTGTGAGGAAAACACTATTCATATCCTGAGAGACTGTGAGATTGCCAAGAGTGTCTGGAGAGGAATTATTAAAACTAACGTTTCTCATGTTTTTTTTGCTGGTAACTTGCAGGTGTGGATGGATTGGAACCTCAGAAACAAAGCTGGAACACATATCTTCAGAAAATGGTCATGGCAACAAGTCTTCTGTACCATCTGTTGGTTACTATGGACTTCAAGATGCAGGAAAGCGTTTGAAGGGAAAGTATGCCACCCCTCAACTATCAGGAATATCTGTCTTCATAAATTGTTGGAGGATAGAGATCATCAGAAATTTACCAACACGATCCTTCAAATTTCAAATAGAGAAACCGCAAGATGGACCCCCCCGCAGCGTGACTTCATCAGGATCGACATAGACGCTTCTGTCACCAATATTCAACACGGAGCATGTGGAGGTATCATTCGGAACTCAGAAGGCTTATGGGTGCTAGGATTCAAACAGCGTTTGGGCTTTGTCTCGCCCACTGAAGCTGAACTACTTGCCATTCTCACTAGACTTCAAACCTGTAAGATGAAGGAATTTCAGAAAGTCTCCATGTTCTCCGACTCTTTTGAAGCCATTAATCTATTTTTAGAGATGGTAATCAAGGCCACCCCCTTTGGAACATTATCCAGGAAATTCGCCTAACTATAGCTGAGATCTGGACATTTGAACTGCATCACTCACCCAGAGAAGCATTGACATGTGCTGACCTCCTGGCAAAAAATGCTCATGATGCGGACACAACACCAACTTTTTATGACTGTTATTTCCGTTTGTGCGGCCCAATATGCACGTGATATGGGCTAATCCCCCCTAGTCTTTTGTTTGTTTCAAGCTCTGCTTGCCGTTGCTAATTCAAAAAAAAAAGAAAAGAGAAGGGTGATAGCTTGGATAGAAATTAGTTCAGGTGTTGCGTTGGCCAAAAAAAAAAAAGTTCAGGTGTTGCATGTTTATTGGTTAGAGTTTATGCGAAGTAGGAATCTCTCTCACAGGGCACATGTTCTCACTTCTCAAAACACATTACCCATGATGCTCAAAACACTCACAGCCCCAAAAAAAAAAAAGAAATCTTCTCACCTGCAGGTTTGAAGTTATAACAAGGACAAGAACCAAGAGAGAGTGACGTACACGGGCATTTTTACCTAAACCCTATAAATAGTAAAAAAAATTTACTTAAATACTATAAGGTAAAAAATATTTACCAAAATACTACATTAGAGATCGTTCTTCAATCTTCAAAAGAACGATTTTGAATTTTTGAACAAGTTGTTCACATGAAGAATGGTTTCTTCATCTGACATTTTTTTTTCAAATAAAAAATTGAAATCATTTTGAAGAAGGACGATTTTAACATTAACAATTTTTTTAGTAAAAATTGCAACTAAAAACCCACATTATTAACTTTGCCATCTCCTTCTATTTCATTTTGAATTTTGATGGGAATTACAATTGATGACCCAATCCCCTCAGTACATACTTTTTTTTATTTATATTTTATATTTTCAACAAAACATGAAAAAATATAAGCAAATTTTATAGGAAGATTATTTCTTATCTTGATAGTTGAATTTAAAATTAATATATAAAATAAACTAAATAAATATAAAATCTACTTATGCTCTCTCCGATCTCAGTATAAATCACTTCAACTAATTTATCATAATAAAAAATAATAATAGTCAAGTCAATAAATTTGTCTTAAAATGAAATTTTTTCAAATTTACCATATTAAATGAGGTTTTGGAGGATGGAAAAAAAAAGAGCCTTGTTTAAACATTAATTCATGGGGGAAAAAATGACAGTTAACTCATTAAATTTGTTTTAAATTGAAATTTTTTTAACTTTATCATATTAAATAAGGTTTTGAAGGATAAAGAAAAATATAAAAAGACTTATTTAATTTAGGGCTTGTTTAGAGCTCCGTTTAAAACGGACTTTTAAGCAAGTTCACATAAGCCAAAATAAAACTCTCTTCATATACTTACCTCATAGTCTGCAAATCACATTTGAAAAGCTACTTATAAGCCAATCCAAACAAGCCTTTAAGAATCAAATACATGACAAAATTGACAAATCAATATTAATTAAACTCCAAGTAACTTAATTAATAGACCAAAAAACACATTTCAGAAGTTACTTATAATGTGGATCTTAAGAAGCATTTTTTTTTTAATATTTTGTTGAAAATGTAAAATAAAAGTCCATTCCATTAACTTTTTTTTTTTGTAGAGAATTACATTTGAGAATTTTTTTCTCTATAAAATTGGTGTTAATGCACATCCAATACCTTGAAGTATTTTGTGGTGCATATAGTGTACTGAAGTATTTTGTGGTGCATCCAGCACCCTAAAATATTTTTTTACAATACGTCTAGCACCATAAAATATTTTTTGGTGTATCTAGTACCAAGGCGAAAAAATTCTTCAGGGTGTTGGATACACCTAAAAATACTTCTAGATACTAGATACACTACTAAATATTTTGGGGTGCTAGATGCACCTTAATCCTAAAATCTATTTATATTTTTTATGTTTTGCAGAAAATATAATATAAAAAAAGAGTATGTGCTGAGGGGATTGGGTCATCAATTGTAATTCTTATCAAAATTCATAATGAAATAGAAGAGGACGGCAAAGTTAATAATGTGGGTTTTTAGTTATAATTTTTACTGAAAATGGTGTCAGTGTTAAAATCATTCTTCTGAAAAACAATTTCAATTTTTTTATTTAAAAAAAATGTTAGATGAAGAAATCGTTCTTTGGGTGAACGACTTCTTCAAAAATGTAAAATCATTCTTCTGAAGAATGATTTCTGATATAACATTTTGATAAATACTTTCTACCTTATAGCATTGAGGTAAATTTTTTTTATTGTTTATAGGGTTTGGGTAAAAATGCCGATGTATACATCTTTTTCGGGTACTGAGTCAAAGGCAAGCTTTTGATTTTCTTTTTTCCTATCGTACTACTATTGGAGAGGTAATCCTATTTAAGACACTATTGGGTACTAAATATGAGCACCATTCCAGACTCCAATTGTGAGAGATTATCCTCTTTCGTTAGACCTAACCCCAGATACTACTCCAGGTACTTAATATAAGAATTAGTTAAAGATTCAATTTGGTTCTAAATATAAAACCTTAATTCACTTTATTTTTCGTATTTATCTATTTTTCCCCATGTAATCTTTATAGTAATGGCAAGAACTGTTTCAATACACGAGGAATGCAGCACTTCTTTACTACAAATAACTAACTTAACTAATTTTTGAATATTTACAAATTAGTTATATAGTTTTTATATTAAAGACCACTATTTACTTTAAATTACTAATTTAACTAATTTTTTAAATATTTACAAATTAGTTATCTGGTTTTAATATTAAAAATCCGATATAGTAACTATTCAATACGTTTTAGTCTGATACCAAATATATAAAAAGGGAATTATAATATTAATAAAATCTTTAAAAAATAATTATCAATAAGTTTTAATAATAAGTAAAAAATTATTATTTACTATTTTAAAACTTGTTATTAGATTCTATATAACTTTTTATAATTATATTCTGTATCTGGTTTCCATTTCAATTGTCTCAATATAAAGCGATAGACTCAACAACTTTATAATATATTGGAACTTCTTCTCTTTCTTTCTGTCATTAATTGAAAAAGGCCGCTTGGCCTAGACCTATCCCTCGTACTGTATATTTGAGACAAGATTGTCTGTGTGACTCTGTCTCTCTGCACAGTGCTCACTGCTCCCTTTGCGCCGCTGTCTTTGCCCGTCGTTCTTCACTCTCTACTCTCTGCCTCACTTGTTCACCGTGGCCCTCTTTCCGGTTGCAACGTTGGCTCCTGAGGAAAATCGGTAATGATTATTCTGTTGAAGATTGATCAACTTAGTTTAAGTGATTAATTGATGATTCTGTGTTCCCAATGTGTTTGTGTTCATTTGAATTAATTTATTTTGAGTTTGTCATGCGAGAGCTTTGTTTGTCTGATTCCTTAATTCAAACTTTTATATGTGAAAGAGTGGGATATACTCAAGTATGATACATATAAAGCCTCCTCCAATGGTGTTCCCACTGGCATTCTCATCTCATGCTTCATCCTCTCTGATTCTTCTTTCTGAGTCTCCCATTCTCACTGTTTCTTTCACCACATGCGTTGTCGCTCTTCTCTCTGTCTCTCTCTGTCTCTCTCTCTTTCTTATCGCCATACTTACCATAGCCCAGAAAGTCTCTGCCTTCTAGCAAAACATAAACAAAGCATAAGGATTTCTCTGCTCTTCATTGTTCTAATTCTTCGTTGGTGGTGAGGTGCATGACTTGCTCTGATTTTGAGAAACAGAAATTCTCATGAACTTCGTTTTCTTTTCTTTTCTTCTTTCTAAGCTCAGTGAGCAAACCATGGAATCCCCTCTTTCACGATATTTGTTGTTATTCAGACAAAAATACAATTGGTTTATAAATTTCGATATGATGCCACCCTATAGACAAGAGATTAAGAATGTCATGGTGCGAACACTTTAATTTGTGTTATTTATTGTTGCTCCTCTGGTCGATCTGCAGTCATAACTTTTTTGATCTGGGCTCAAGGTCGAGGGAACCAGTTATTGTTTTTTTTTTTTAATTTTTTGCCAACCATTATTGTTTTTATTAATCCATCATCTATGCTTCCATCTTTTGTGTGCAAACTAATTAATAACAGCTTTAACACGTGTTGATCCTACAGATCTCTCTCGTTGACATTATATTATATAGATCCCCAAAATGTCGACATTGGGAGGTGACTTGGAACAAAACGCGCCGATCGACTTGGACCCTCCCTTGGGGCTGCACCGTCCTTCACCTGGTGACTCTTCAGCAAGGCCAAACGAGGAATCAGGTGAATGAGTACAAAAGCTCTTCTTATTTCTGTGTCCTTTGGATCAATAGATGTCATTAAAAAAAAAAATGCTTGCATTTCTTTAACAAAGGTTTGGTCAGAGAAAAAGGACTCGATATATTTCTAAAGTAAAATTTTGAGTTCATTTCAATGTTGCAAATACAAAAATCAAAATTGTTCAGGAAATCATACTATTGCCTCTTTCTTGTCAAGAAATCTTGATAAGTAAGGTCTTTCCCCACTTTTTGTTGGTTAGATACATTAATCAATGGGCATATTTATATTATCAAAGTAGAACTTGCTTCTTCAAATGGACCTTTGCCTCTTTAAATTTCATGTTGTTTTTTTTTTCTTCACTATGAATGCATCATAATGAAGTTTTCACTTTGGTAATTGCTTTTCGTTGTTTCAATCAATACTGCCTTGGTTGCTTTTTATAAGAAACAACTAAGCAAATCGCATTGATAAAAAAAGTTAGTCAAAATTGGTCAGAGAAAATAAATAGGTAAAAACTCTAACTTTTTCTCAAAAATATCCTTATTTATAGGGGAGATACTGTAAGGAAGATAATAAAAAATTATTAAATATTAAAAGGATTGTGGGGGGAGAGAATGTGTAGTGAAAAGAATGCTTGGAGAGTCATGTGATAATAAATGTGTAGATATTAAAATGAACAATTAAATGAGGACAAAATGAGAAATTAACACCAAAAATTTGGGACATCCTCTAAATATTTCTTACAAGTAGGAACAAAACATAAATAGTAGTTGCTTCTTATAAAAAGAAATGGATGGAGTACATCATAAACATGAAAATCTCCTCCTCCTCAAGATGCACTTAACAATAATTGAACACAACTACCTTTTTAATATATTACTCAAAACACTTATCCTATGTCATGTACATGGGCACTAACAAAAGCAGCTATATAGTATCCTATATATGCCAACATCTTAAACAGTGTGTATTCATTTAATCATTCAGGTGAGGAGAGGGCATGGAAGGAGGATTTGTGCCATGCAATATGCGGTAACAAGTGGAGTGATGTGAAAGTAATTCTGGATCAAAACCCTAATGCTTTGACTTCAGTAATTTCTTATAAAGGCAGAACAGCACTTCATGTGGCTGCAATGTTTGGGAATGTCACCATTGCGGAGGAGTTACTAAAATTACTGCCTCCAGAATTCGTTCTAACTCCTGATTCTGACGGTCGTACAGCACTTCTAATGGTTACTTATTTTAGTGGAAACACTCAAGTCGCAAAATCCCTCGTAAACAAGAATAGCCGCACACTTGTAATTCCAGACATTGTTGGTGATCTTCCTGTTATAGTGGCTTTTGGAAAGGGTTACCAAGAAATGGTACGTTATCTTTATTCTGTCACTCCATTGGAATGCCTCACAGGCCGTTCGGGTTCTAGGCTTCTTCATCATTGTTTACATGCACAATGCTTTGGTATGTTATAGAATCTTGCTTCTTTTGTTTTTGATGCTCTTGTCAATTCATGGCGTGACTATATACACATACACACACATCTATATGTATAATGCAGATATCGCGCTGAATTTGCTTCAACAATGTGAAGAATTGCTTTCAGTGCCCTATAGTAATTCAGGGATGACCCGGACGCAATTCTTGAGATCGCAACGTTGAACACTGCTATTCTTAGCTCAAGTGAACTTATCTTCTGGAAACGATGGATCTATAATTGTTGGTACCAGTGGACTTAAGTATATGTGTGTGGGTATCAAATGCTTTCCTTTCTTTTTCATTATCATGTGTAGATTTTGTTTGTGTTATTTTCTCCCCATTGTTTAGATTGTACCATACAACATCACGATTGTGAACAGAGACTATATTAAAACATGAATACTAGCCCCCCACACACATAATTGCTAATAGGTTATTTCCTTGGTCATGATTGTCGTCAGCAAAGAAACCTTGCACAATATAATTTACAAAATATACTCAATGAGATGATTACAATTGAATGTTGTGAAGAACAACCTATAAATAAATAAAATAAGTGGGAAAAACCTGATTCAGAATATATTTAATTAACATAGAGGACATGTTTTTTCATATGCTGTTTTTATCCTATTTATTTATCATCATCGTTATTAATGCATTCCTTAAACGACGTGATCTTTCTTTGTTTCTTTGCCCATCTAAGATATAAATATACCTTCAACCATAGCTTCCAATCATGTTTGCGTGGACATCGGCCAAGAAGATGGAAGTCAAGGAGATAAAGCAAAACTTACCAAGCCAGGTATGTTACAAAAACATTGTTTGGAGAATATATGCAACACCTAACTTTCTATATACCAGAAGGGTCCACTTAACATCTGTGGATCACTAGACGCCAGTTTTCTATTATAGAAAATGACAAATTTTTTTTTATATATATAAATACTGACGAGTGATTCACACACTTGAACCCTACTTCTGAAGAACGTATGACAGGCACACAGATTTAAAATAATACTACTATTATATAAGTTATTACCCTGGTCATTCAGGACAATGACCCTTACCTGAGCACTGAAAGTACACACTCCCTTAAAGAAGGATACAAAATAGTATAATTACTAGTAAGTGGGGGTTACTTGCTCTTAAACATCTAATAAGTCAGATAATTAAATATCAAAATAATTATTCTATAGGTACAAAAGCAGCAGGCATTCCTGCTCTTCATACAAGCCCACCTTCAGCACTTATGACCTCCTTACTCTTGGAATTGCTTGCTCTAGCTGTATAATATAGGAAGGGAGGGTGAGATTCAAACGAATCCCTGTAGTAGTAATTTCCATCAAAGAAATGTGCAGATTACATAAAGCATGCAAAACAAGCCAAAGTGGAACATAACCTTGCAAGCTAACGCAATTAAGCATTTATGCGCAATGACAGATAGACAAGCTGAATAAATAATGCGCAAATAATTGGCAATCACTGCCCCATGTCTATCAGCTACACGTGATCACGGCTAAATAATCCATGCAAGGAATTAAGGATTACATGTTCTCATGCTTTAGAAAAGCAATATGGCACAAACAGACATGCAGCAATCATACACAAGTGTAAGGTAGGAAAGAACTACTACCTGAACCTTCTGCTTCAAAATCAAACCTTACTTGTTTCCTTTCTCTTAGCTTCTTCGGTAGGCTTTTGCAGATATCAAAACCTATTATTTTAGTAAGGGTAGGTTAATGCTTGATCCAACTAAAATTCATAAATTAGAAATCTCTCTTTAAATCCCAATCCTTTTTCAATCTCTACCCTTACTTAATAGTTTGGTCATCCTGGACAATTTTTCTTATTTAATGCATTTACTGTGGAGAGTTTCTCTCTTTATCTCAGCCCAAATAGTTACTTTTCTTAGTAACTGATCATCTTGGTCAAAAATAATATATTATACACACACAAGTCTTCTATCTTTAAAATATTTTCTATTAACACTTCATATTAAATCTCAAAATTATTCTCCAGTTTTGAAAATCATCGTCACAGCACTTTGATAAATTTCTAACCATATTCCAAAACAACTATATATAACAACTCTATTAGCCTTTAATTACTCTTATCCCCTTGCCTTTCAAGCTTACTAATTGAAAGTGTGTACACATACACAAATATATACTTTATAGCACTTCCCATGCCAAACACCTAACACTTAGGCGCCTATGCTAGAGTATAAATTATTATTTTTGTACTTCTAACTTGCTTCTAAAATTGGCTTGGCTTAATTAACGTCATACTGTAATTTCCAAATCCATACAATTCTTCACTTTAAGTCTAAAAGAGAAATTCCAGATTGGATGCCAATAGCTAAATCATTCCACTCAACATTCTATAGGTTCTTTTATCAATAAAATCCAATGATTTCTCAACACTTTGTAACAAAATATCCCTTGGTTCAAAGTTTCACATTTTAGAGTTCTAATCAATTTTCCTCTTAAAAATTCAAAAGTCCCCAAGCTTCAACCATTTCTATTCACCATTCGATCATATAACAAATTAACTTACATAATCATCACTTATCATTCAAAACCTTAAGAACAAACCATACATGGTTCTCCTCCTAGTAAATTTTGAGTATCAAGGTTCTAAAACCACACTCTTATTTATTTATTTATTTAGACAGCATTTCCACATCAACTCTAGGCTTCCAAAGTCAATTCTTCATATCACCACCAAACAGCTGCGCATCATTATTCTTTATATTCCTAATCATTCCTTCCATTAAACTCCAACTCTCCCACTCACACTTGAATCCCAATAAATTTTTTACCCTCAACTCAAAATCCTTATTTCAACATCTTGTTTCAATTGCTAACTTAAATCTGGAAATTTTCATGTTGGAGAACAATATTTAAAATAACTAGCTTAGAATCTTTAAACTTAAATTCCAGATTTATAGCTCACACACCACTACTTCCTTCTTTCTCATATATCTCTCGCTACTCACATTCCAGCTCCCACGGTCACACTCAAGCAATTATATAAATATATAAAACCCAAACTCAACTCCATTCAGCAGCAAAATCATCATCTTTCTTCATTCCATTTAAAACCTGATACATCCATGTATAAACATACATCTCCGCCACTTTAGTTTCTAAAATTTCAGTCCCATGAAAGCAACATTAATCAACATATCAGTGACATCAAAATTGGAAGACCCATAACCTCCCGTCACTAAATCAACCAGAAAATATATACTTATATGTACATATAACACAGGCCCATAAGCTAAACTTTATTCTGCTACAGATTGTGTATACATATAATATTATATTATATTCTTCCTAACTTACAAAACCTGAAGCTACAAGTATCGAAACTATATATATATATATATATCAGTTCGGTCTCCACTCAAACATGAAACGAAATCAGCATGCAGCGACAAACCTCTGTTTTTCGGCAGCCAAAACAGAGAAGGAAAACAGCACATGCAAACTCAAAAACCAGCACCATATACTTCAATATTGCCATATAACATGAACCCACCGATCCTTCTCTCCTTTCCTTAACTTTCTCTCACTAAACCCAACTTCTACCTTCATCAACACCTCAAACAGCCCTTGTTTAACGACAATAAAGATGCGAGAAGGTTTAGAGAGCTCACCTGGAATGTTTGATCGGTTTGCATGCACTGGATACTACCTCCGGTCACTCCTCCAGCTCCACCAACTCAGTTTCTTCCGTGCTCTCCTTCTCTCACTCTCCATCTCTACCTCTCTTTTCTTTTGGGCACCGAACGAAATGAGTTAGACACGTGGGTAACCAGCTGTTACATGGAGGAGTGAATCAGATGGCTATTAGAGAAGGTAGCACGCGTATTGCAAAGTTCCTGGACCAATTTTGACCTCACGCATAATTATTTCTCCAATCCTATCATTTCTCCTATTTTTCTGAAATATAAGATATATCCAGAAATTAAACCAAAATATCCTGAATGGATTTTTCTTATCCATCACAACTGGTTATCCTAAAATTCTCAGATTAAATATAAATCTCTAAGTATTTTTTCCATAATTTCCAGAGAAAATAAACCATTCTTCTCTTAAAATTATCTATTAAAATTATTTAAGCCATTTTTGGGGAAATACCTTTTCCAAAATGTCTCTAAACCCTAAAAATCATTATTCCATAATTTTTCCCCCTTTATTTGGCAAATAAATAATTTTAATAAATTTTTCTCTTTTCTACTCATCCTAAATCATAAAATTCGGGGTGTTACAATACATATAGGAATAACATATCAATTTGTAGGCATTAAGAGAGTAACTTTTACTTTGCTTTTTTTAAAATTAATATTAATATCTTATATTTCCCCCCTCCCTAAATTTAAGAGCTAATAAAGAAATTTATTTTAATACTAAATGTAAGATTTCAGTTCACCTTATATCCTTCAAATTTATAATTTTTTCTCCTAAATCTCCCTGTTGATTACATATATTAAAAGAGTTTTCTGTTAAAAGAGTAGTTTACAGTACAAATGATTATAAGGAGTACTTTAGGGAAACCAATACGCTTTTTTTGAAAGCAAAAATTAACTAAACTATTTAATTTTCTTAATCTACTGCAAATTAGTTATTAAGTTTCTACATCGTAGGACATGATGGAGTAGTTATGTCGTGTCACGGAATATGACAATTTCGCATATATAATTGCCCAAAATCATGATATGGAATCGTACTCAACAATAAGTAGAAGTCTTTCCTTCGATTAATGCAACACCTCACTTTTATATACTAATAGATCATTTTTAACGCCTGTGAATCACTAACACCAGGTTTCCATCCTGGGAAAAGACAGAGAATTTTTTTTTTCTTTTAACATCAACATTGTCCAAATACCAAATACATCATACAAACTTGATATTACAAGTTCCCACACATAATTTTATAACAAAACAAACTTTCTACGAGCTTCTTCTCACAAAACGTTGCATCTCCTGAACAAACGAGTAGAGTTGGGAGGGTCCATTAAGAGCTATCTGTCTCTTCTTTTCAACCCATATACCAGTGTCTGGAAATTGTTCCAATATGGCCTTAATCCATATCTCATCAGACAGTTGGTTAAATCGGCTTAATTCACCATATTGATACAAGCCAGGAATTAGAGTAAGAAAAGCCATATAACGATCACGCATATTAGAATAGTCATCGTATATTCTCATAAAAACATGACCTAGTTCCACCATTAACTCATGGTGAGGCCTTTCTCGTAAGTCAACATAGTTCTCAGATTCCTCTTCCTCACGATACATTTCTTCCTCAGGGTCTTCTTCCTCAGGTTCTTCTTCCTTTGGGTCTTCGTCTTCAGGTTCTTCTTCTTCAGGGTCTTCTTCCTTAGGTTCTTCTTCCTCATGTCTAGAGCATCTCTTAGATTTATTTGAACTTCCAAGACCATCAAAATTCATACTGGAGTCTTTATCCTCCTCAGCAGAAATTAAGTCTATTACTTCTGGAGGTGGTCGAGGAACATAAGGATTTGTTCTCTGTGCTGATCTTCTAAGAGGTGGTTTTCCATACATTTGGTCTCTAACAGGCTGATTAACTGATGGTTCTGACCTTTCACTAATATCTTCATCATTAGAGACTAGGTTTATAGGCTCTAGCATCTGTGGAAACCCTAGAGATGTACTTCTTTGAGTAGAATGATGATGGGGTAAGTAATTCTTCCTTGACATACCTCTTCCTCTACCAGAACCTTGTCCGGAAGGACCAGCATCTTTGCCTTGTCTACCACACCTCACCATCTATCCTGCATCCAATTCGTTTACCTTATTATTTTCCTCTTGCAATTATAGTACTAATATGTACATCATATGAGCAAAGCATTCTAACTCATTGCCAGTATCTCGGCTCTTCAACCAGCCCACCTTCTTCTTAAACAACCTCCTTGTCCTTCAGGCTACTAGCTTTCACTGTTCATCATAAATTGGGGGGTGAGATTCCGAAGAATCCCCGTAGTAGTAATTTCCATCAAACAAATGTGCAGATCACATAAAACATGCAAAACAAGCCATATGGAACAAAACCTTGCAAGCTAATGCAATTAAGCATTTATGCGCAATGACAGATAGACAAGCTGAATAAATAATGCGCAAATAATAGGCATTCACTGCCGCGCATATAATTGGCAATCACTGCCCCATATCTGTTAGACAAGCTGAATAAGTAAAGCGCAAATAATTGGCAATCACTGCCCCATGTCTATCAGCTACACGTGATCACGGCTAAATAATCC